ATTCCTGCTCCTGGCCTCGTGGAGAAGACCCACTTGTAGTAGAAGAAAATGACACTCACGTGCAGGGAGAAATAGAGGAGATGGAGAGTCCTGACGATGTGCAAATCTATGGATGGAGTCACCCCTGAGGCCATCCCACTCCATCCTTCCCAGGGAGTGTCTGTCTATGCATTCCCTTCTTTGATTAAATTAGGTTGAATTGCATTCTATTGCTTGCAGCCAGAGGATTCTAAGACTCTGTAAGAAGTGTTTATGGAATGACAGAAGGAAGTACCAATAACTGAGTTTTATAAAGTGAGGACAGGTTTCACAGAGTGAAGACAACCAAGATTTGTCTTTAGGGATGAGGAGAGCTTCCACAGCAGGATGTAAAGAAGGGCATTTTGGGGAGGCAAAAAAGAGTACAGTGCATTTGGGTGAAAAATGTAGTAATATGATTTGGGGAGAGACAAGAACGAAAAACGGGTTCAAGAGTATTTCCTTGAATGCTATTTGTGGGTTTTAGGTTTTGTCCTATAATCAGTGATTGGGAAGTCATTAAAGGATTTTAAGCAGGGTTATGATATAGTCAGATTAATCTTTTAGAAAGATAATTGGTCACATAATTGAGATAGATAATAGAAAATTGGTGGGGAGCTGAAAAAGGGAGGGAGGGAATCAGAGAGTCCAGATGGGAGGTTAATGCAGCAAACCAAGTAAGCAATGATGAAGATCTGAACAAGGGTGGTACAAGGAACGGACCACAGAGCGTCAGCATGTGGACTGGAAGAGTTGGCGCCCCGCTGGAGAAGACTGAGGGAGAAGAAGAGGCAGCTGAGATAATGCCTTGGCTTCTGACTGGGGTGACCAGATGGATGGGTGGCGGCATTGTCAAGTGAGAAGGAAGAGTAGATTCTGGGGAGTGAGGACAGATTCCATTAGGCATGACAGATGCCCATGGGACAGCCACGTGGACATGTCTGATAGGCACGAAGAAGTAGTGGTGTTTAGCTCGGTGGTGAGTCTGTGCTGATGACACTGATTTAGAAGTCTTTGTAACAGTGGTGGGCCAGATGCAGCCTCCCAGAAAACCACCTGGGCAGTACTACTTTCTAAAAGAGAGGTATTTTTTCACACTCAGTTTATCCTTCAAATCTAGTTCAATATTTATAGCAGAAACAAAGTATTAGCATCCTTATGTTACTGGTGTAACTTAAAACAGCCAGTGTGAAATACCAACCATTTATTCTATTTTGGGGGAAGGTGAAAGTTGCCATCTTATTTATCTATTTGCCTAGGTCTTTGTTTTTTAAAAAATGTTTTTACTATTAGAATTCTCATTCAATCTTAAGGTTGAAATATATATATATATATATATATATATATATATGTATATAATTAGTAGTAGTAGTATTTTTTGCTTTAGTTACTCTACTCAAGTGGCTTTTCTAGGTGTACGTATAGTAGTCCAGAAAGCACTTGGACTGATGAATTAAGAAGCCTTGAGGGTCTGCGGAGCTCTAAAGAAGCGTGCTTTGTGACTGGCTGCCTTTCACCTGTTCAGAGTCCTTATTTATCGCTAAGGATGTTTCAATAGATGCTGAAAAGTCAACAACAGAAATATTTTTGGGGTTGCTTTTGGGCTTAGTCACCTTCAAATATTTTGCATCTCCTTTTCTTTTTTTTCCTCCTTTCGTTAGTGCACTGTTAAAAGCTTTTCAGCTGTTTGTAAGCTTTTCTCAAACAGTGGTGGAGATCAGACAATCATATACTCCAAATACAGTGTAGGAGCTACTTCTTCCTCCTTTAAAAACCTGAGTTTGAAGGGAAACAAAAATGCCTTTAGGGAGATGCACTGAGAGCCACGAGACCTGAGTTCTACTATTAACTTTTACTATTATGAGTTTATGCTCTTGGATTGTTATCTAATCTCTTTGTGCTCAGTGTCTGCATCTGGAAAAGGTTTACCCTCTTATAAGGACAGTCTGGAACAAACACCTGGTATATATGGAAGCACTTTGAGTTTTTCAGAAAGTCTCTGAAAGAATGTAAGACAACATGCTTGGCTACAACTGGCTAAAAGCCATCTGTATCCATTTATCTTTGCGAGGAAAAAAGGAGATGAATAAAAACACATAGCCTGGTGCTTGGCACATAGTAGGTGCTCAGCAAAATCACAATTTTCAATGCTTTTCTTTCTTCACTCTTTTCTTGCCATCCACCTTTTATCCCTTCCTTCCTAAGATGCTTTTCGTTTTTCTTTGCTGACTTATTCAAAACCTTCCATTTTTCAGAAACAAGACCCTATATAATATTCTAGGATAATTAGTGTAATAATGCAAAACCAGAAGCAGGACCATGTCGCCATGTTTTAGGAAATATTTATGTTGTATTATCTTAGAGAACAAACAAGCTAATAGGTCAACCAGTACAGCAGAGAGAAAAGTGATAGACCTAGAGTCTGGAGAAGGTCCTGATTAGGGAAGCACACGGTGGTTCCAGCCACACTGATTAAAGGGTTGCTGGTTTGGGCTTAACTTGAGTTGTCCTTGTGCTGACTTTGTGCTGTGTCAGACTTCTGCTTCCTCTTTGGGGCCTTTGGCATGTGTGAATTTTGAAAATGCCTATGTTCTCTCCCTAGACATTACAGAGTAATTTGTGATTCTAATGTTATTACACATTCTCTCAAGTTTTAAAAAACAGACATGTTGTTATTAACAAGGAGAGATTTTGGAGTACCCTCCGGTAAATTAATCATCAAGATCTTCTGAATGGAGGTAACTTTATGTCAATGATCTTAAATATCTTTATGCTTCAGATAAGAAATTAAGCTGCAAGACTGAGCAGCCGGAGTTGATCTCTGCAAATGCCAGCCCTGAGCCTCCGTGACAGAGGCTTGGCTCTGTATCTGCTTCTCAAACCCTCCCTCCTTACTCCCCATCCTCACATATTAAAAAACGTCAACCGACCTCAAACCTATTCAACTACAACCGGTTTGCCACATGTGGATTAAACCTCTATGGCTTAAATTTTGTTTCGTCAAGAAAAGTAAAATTAGATCCTCTTATATAGAAAAGGGATTTTACGTTTCCTAAGTTTCGAAGGAGGAATGAAATGCCTTCTTGAATATAAGAATAAGTGTAGGAATTCAAGTCTACAAATCCAACCAGGTCACTGGGCATCTCCCCCGGTCCCCAGAGGAGGAGAACTTTCTGCACTGATGCCTGACCAGAAGTAGAGACCTCCAGAGGGCTTGGGGAGCTGGCCAGGGAACACCGGCCAGCCCAAGGACACACTCGGCCTGAGCCAGGGAGCCACAGGCTGCTGCAGAATCTCCTTTTTTCCCTTGCTCCTATCCCCAGACTCTTTCCTAGAGGTGGAGGAAAATACCTTCAGTGAAGCCCTGGAACTTTCAGGCACCCCATTTCCATATTTTCCTGAGATGATGCCACAGGCCAGCGGAGACCATGTCATCGCTCCGACGCCTACAGAAGAAAAAAACCTTAAAAAGTTACTTCTGCAAACTGGGATCAAAAGTGTTGGGGTGCTTAGAAAGGACTTGGTTAGTTGGGGGGAAAACTGGCCAGATACATGAGCTAATATCAGCATAAATGTTTCCATTACAGTTTAGGCATCTACAAATAGTGCTTCATTTTTATAAACCTATCAAATGTGCACTGTTGGTTATGGGGAACAGGCCATATAATCAAGCCTGAAAATGTGGCTTATCCATAGTTTTTGGATGACCAAAATTTATGTTTCTTTTTACACTCAGAGATAAACACTTTTGCTTGCACAGAAACCCAGCTCTTCGCTTGTTCACTCAGTGCCTTAATAGTGCCTGGTGCAAAGCAGGAGCACAATGCCCCCCTGCACAGTAAACACGCAGTGATAGCAATAACAACCATTGTTATTGCTGTTGTTGAACTTTTTTATCCTTTTTTTCTTACCCAGCATTTTCCCACTCGTGTAAACCCCCATTTCTTACGAAGAAAATTATCTCTGGAATCTGTTTTAATAAGTATGCCTGAAAATGTGGCTTACTTAAGTTTTTCTGATGTCCAAAATTCTCGTGTACATGTTGTTGTATATATTTTTTCCCTCTCTTTGTCATTATGTCTACCTACAAAAACATGTGTCCCTGGCTCATCAGCCGTTCTTGAATTCCCATTCTGACTCAGTTCTAGGCAAAGTAGGAGATACAGATGTATAAATCCATAATTTTTGGGAAAGGCAGTCATAATCCACTCAGAGATGCATTCTTGGCTAGAGCAACTACCCTATGAAAAATACGTTTATTCATTGTTTCTTCCCTTCATTCTATATGCATTTTTTGAACACCTACTGAATACGGCTTGTACACCAGTCACAATTTACAGCTCTGCTTGGCTGTCATGAGTGATACTCTGGAGGTTACATACAGGCACTTTTGATTCTTCCAGTCTCTGGAATGCATAGTGCTGACAACCCCCTAGGTTAATTAGGAACATTTAGGAAAGCATTTCAGTAACATTTTTTTTCTGGATCACTGATCATCCTGTTGTTAAAAATAATCAGTAAATTTGATTGTGAAGATTACCTATTTTATGGTAGAGCTCTGGTAGCTGAACCTCCACTTTCTCTCTCTGGAAAAGATGGTACTCAGCTTGTTCACAGACTGGTGGGATCATGTTGAATTGTCTTGCTACAGAGTAGGCTTCCTAGGGAGAAATAAAAGTGCAACTGAATTTATAGCTGATGAGAAATAAGGCTGTATGCATGAAAAAATTTCATTTTGGTGAAATCAATACAAACCAAGAAAAATGTAGATTGCCAAATAGTAAGCAAAGTTATGACCATCAATTTCACTAAGAAATACCAATGCAGGAAATCCTTATTATTCTTTGAGAGGTTTTGGAATGAGTAAGGTCCAGGGAAAATTAGTCAAAGTATGAATTATGGACTATTACAAAGAAAACATAGTTTGACTATTTCTAGGTTCCTAAAGAAATAAAACTTAACTAATATATAATATAAAAATGATCTGTAATTAGCATGTTATGAACAGGACCATTATTTAATACATTAAAAAAAACCCTGGAATATTGTGTTCATATGTCTCGTTAGCTGAGAAATTTACTCTCTTACTACCAGAGAACATGCTAAAGCACAATGCCTGTTAGATACCTGCACCCTCCCTATTGTATTCTGAGCTGAGGAGATCCACCCCCCATATCCATCTCTATTACTGATGGAATTGATCATGGAATTCTAGTGCCATTGTGATTGTGAAGAAAGTTTGCCAAAGATCGTACAACTTACACATGATATCTAACAAACAATAATAGGTACTCAATGGCCATTTAAAAATAGAAATGAAATTACCATGATCTCCATGGCACTCCAGCGAGAGGTTCCCCAGTACATTGCCATTCCTTGGTTTATCACATGTGTCATGGCTCGAACGATTTCTATGGAAAGCCAAATAGTTAGCACTACATATACTTTTCAAAGTTATACAGTTTTTTTTTTCCTTTTCCTGCCCAAAGCTTAGATATTTAATGCAATTATTTGTTGGATTAATATAATTACTTTGACACTGGTGATAACATAATAGTCTAACATAAAATATTGATAGTTTGGAGGTGGTTGGTACTTTTGGGTTCCATTTTCAGATTGCAGCAACAACATGAAATGATATTAAAAACAGAATGACCACTTTAAGTTCTTCCTTTACTTTTATCACTTCAGGGTTCCTGGCTGGATAAAAGAACACATGATTCACCTCTTTCAGAACGTGGGGACCTTAAGGGCTCACTAAAGTGAGAAGTGAGAGAAAGCATTTGTTTTGACTTTGTGGAATGGAGGGTCATTGGGGATAGAAGGCCTGCCTCTGTGTGTGGGATCTGCAGAGCTAAGACTCACTCAGGGTGGCTGTTTAATAGAGATGACTCAACAACAATGTGTTTGGCAGAAAGATAAACATATTAAATGCTGAACAAACAGCCAAAGCCATGGTGGCTCCCAGCCCACAATGGCTACTCTGTCCTTGACCACTTTGGACCAAAGTTCATTCTAAGACACCCATGTCATGCATTTCACCGGGGCCTGCGTGTGGCCCCACCCCACTTGCTCATCAGCCTCTTTCACCTTGACATCATATTTCCTAAACAGGAGAATGAACCCCTTCCCAGAGGGGTGGAGCTGAGCTAATCTTCTTGGCACCAGCCGATGTGATGCAGAACCAGGGAGCATGGAGAACCTCAAGTTCAACTGAGTGATAAGTCACAGACATGGTTGGATTTCTTCTACAAAGCAGGTCAGCCAAATACCCAGGGTGATAGGTCATTTGACATTTTCAAGGGGTTGCAGGCCATGGGCTTTTCTTGCCCCACTAATATCTGGTAGGTTACGTGTCCTTCAGAAGAATCAAATCCTTTCTCAAACTCGAGTTGAGTAGATGTGTTCTTCTTTTATTTCTCACCAGCAAGCACTGTCTTAATTGATCAGGGACAGGATTTGGAACGAGACAGCGAGGGTTAGGGTCTTAGCTTGCTTGCTTGTTTGGCTTACATAAACCATTTAAAATTGCCCTTGGTTTCTTTGTTTGGAAGATGGGAATGCTTTTCCTCACCAGAGTCCCAACAGAGGTAGAACTTGGCTTATAAGGAAAATATTTTTCTTTCTTGGAGAAAGACTCCTAAATATCAGTTTATTACTCAGCAACTAAATCTATGAAGATAGTTCTCCCTTTATAAAGCAAATGAGATACAAAAAGTTTCTTTCCTTTTATTATACAAATGGAAATGAGTACCTGTGCTAAAATTTCTGGAAGTCTAAAGCCATTATTTAAATCTCTGCCCCAAAGTATTCTCTCTTTGGAGATCTCCATCGTTGTGCTAATTCCCTTTCCTTTCACATCCTGTTTCATCCAGAGCTGAGATGTTCATCCAGTCAACAGGATTTATGAGGCGTCTGCTATGCTAGGGGTTGGGGATACTGGGGCGAATCAAACACGTTGGTAAACACTGAGGAGGTTAACAGAATAAAATGAGCCCGAGAGCCTCCCCTGTCTCCATTCTGTAATCACGTAAGATGAGCACAGGACTGGCCAGTGGCTTGGCCATGCGGCAGTTCCTGAGGCCTTGGCAAGAGCAGGTAAGGTGGAGTGGAGGTGGTACTCCTCCTGTACCTTCATTCCCTTATTTCACACACACGTATTAAGAACTTAATGTGTGCCAGGCACTGGGTTCATCTGTGAGTAAAATAGATACAAAGCTCCTTGAGTTCTGAATTGAGTGGAGAACACATGGAGATGTAAACAAGTAGGTAATTACAAAATGTGACATGTTATGAAAAAAACCAATAGGGGGCTGAGATAGGGAATAAGAGGGAAGACCGATTTTAGTTGGTTAAGGAAGGTCTCCCTGAGGAGTAATGTTTAGGCACAAAAAATAAATAGGGACCAGCCAGGTGAAGAGCCGTGGAGGAGGATTGTAGGCCACTGGAGCAGCATGTGCAAGGGCCCTGAGGCTGGACAGAGCTTGGTGAGTTCCCGCAATCAGGAAGCCATGGAAGCTGAGTCAGGAAGGAGGACAGGGCTACAGGATGAAGTTGGCAGAGGGCAAACCGTGTTATTTGTCTGTTATTCAGGGCTTGATGGGAAGTCACTAACATTTTTAGGTAAGGAAATGACGATGCAGTGAACATTTCAGAACACTATCGGACCATGCTGTGGGGCTGGAGGGGGGCTGGAGGAAGCAGGAAGATCTTTAGGAAGTTGCAGTACTCCAGGCAGGAGTTGAGGGGGCTTGGAATCGGGAGGTGGTAGCAAAGACAGAGGCATGAATGGATCAACATCTGTTTGGGGGGTAGTATTCCCTAGACTTGCAGATGGACTGAACGTGGCAAGTGAGGACGAGGAGGAATGAAGGCGGTCTCCCAGATAACTGGCCATTCACCGAGATGCAGGAGACTGAGCGAGGAACAGGTTTGGAAGGAAGAGACAGGGTCTCCCCTTGGACATGCCAAAAATGGAGATGACTGTGAGAGACTGAGGGGAGATGTTGAGTGGAGATAACTGGATAATGACACGGTGAACAACCTGGGCTGGAAGCGAGCTATTTGTTAATTACCAGTCTTTAAATGTATTTAAATCCATGGAAGTGGATGAGACTATAAAAGGGAAGTCTGCCCAGAGAAAAGAGCAGAGGTTCTAAGAGCCAGAGCAGGAGTCGGGGAGAGGTCACTGCAGCCAGAGGGGCAGGAAGGAAGCCAGATGGGGGGACAGTTCAGAATCAAGAATAGGGAGTGCTTGCAGAAGGAGCTGTGCCGGAGGAATGGAACACACGAGCATTCGAGTCAGAAGGGCACAACACAGCGTCTACAGGATTTGGCTGTGTGACAGGGAGGTCACTGCAGACCATGAGAAGAGTGCTGTCAGTGTCTGTGGTGCGTTGGGACCAAGGCCAGGCTGGAGCCAGTGGTAGAATGGGCGTGGGGAAGGGAAGGCGTTAGAGACAACCTGGGTAGACTCAAGTTAGGAAATGAATGGAGCAGAGAAAGAGGGCAGCAGCTGAAGGGGTACTTAGAGTCGAAGGAGAGTTTTATTTTAAAACTGGAAGATGTAAGAGTAAGCCTGTATGCCACTGGGCGTGATCTAGATAGGGGAGTTACTGAGGATGCGGGCTAGAGGGTTGGGGAGTATGGAGGGGGAGAGACTTGACACAGGGAGATGGAGGAGAACAACACTCCTGGGGGGGGAAGGACACGTCTGGCAAGACGGTGGGACCTCAGGAGGTTTGGAGAACTCATCATAGGAAGACAGGGGAGCCCCTGTTTGATGAATTCAATTCTCAATAAACTATCAATCAAGTGAAAAAGAGGTGGGAAGTGAGGAAAAGGTGAGAAGGAACAGTTCTGAGCGTGGAAGAGCCTATGCAAGATGCCCTTATGCCCCAGGTACTTTAGTTGAGGGGTAATTTCTTTGCTCCCGTGATCTGTTTGGCTACTGACTCTGCAGGAAAGGGCTGGTGGAATGCAGAAAGGAATCTGGGAGGAGGAGGCTGCAGCACGGAATGCAGGGAGGAATGCAGAGAATGTAGAGGCCACAGTTAGAGATTCACGTTGCCACAAAGTAAAACTGAATTTAATGCATGTTCAATTTTTTTTTTTTCCCCACGCGGGCATGCGGAGTCTTAGTTCCCCGACCAGGGATTGAACCTGTGCCCCCTGCAGTGGAAGCGCGGAGCCCTAACCACTGGACAGCCAGGGAATTCCCACTTCATTTTTTTTTTTTTTTTTTAATGTCAGAGAAAAATCCCCCAAGTTTTTAGCTATCTAACATAATAGGAAGTAACTGTACTGATAGCTGAGGTGGGTTTTTAACATAATTCTACCAAAATGACACTAGAGGGCAGCATTGTTAAGAAAAAAAATCAACTGGGTTTAAATGCTTGTTTTACTTGTACATCACGGAAATGCGTTTTTAAAGCGTCCTAGTCAGAGCCTCGATACTGAGTGGGGAAAAGGCCCTTAGGAAGATCATTTAGTGCATTGCTTTCACCTGCCCCTGGGAAAGGACATGCAGACAAACTGATTAAATCCGGCAACTCAGGACTGAATGTGGCTCCTGGAGCCCAGACTCACCCGCTTTTCCAGGAAGCCTTGGCACCAGTGGTGCCAAACCTGACTGCACATTAAAACACCTGGGGAGCTTTGAAAACTACACTATCCAGGCTCCACGGAAGTTCTATTATATCAGAATCTCTGGGGGTGAGGCTGGGCATCAGTCTCATCCCAGATGATTCCAGTTTGCAGCCAGGGTTCAGGGCCGCTCGCTGTGCTTGTCTACACGGCTGGTCCTAAAGTATGGCCCCTGGACCACCAGCAGCAACCCCTGGAACCCGGTAGAAATGCATATCCTAGGGTCTTACTCCAGATGTACTGAATTACAAATTCTGGACATGGGTAGGGCCCAGCATTCTGTTTTAAGCAGCTCTCCAAGCAATTTTAGTACAGACTAAAGGTTGAGAAACACTGCTTTATATCATCCCCAAGTAAGCCATGTCAGTGAGTATCAACTTCCTCCCATATTTCCTCTTCCGCTCTGTCGTCTAATCTTAGTGCTTCATGATATACTTTAACCTTTATTTGCTTTAGTACATATGCAAACAGTCACTGTGACATGATGCATGCATGTACACACACACACAAGCACATACACACTTTAGTATGAATTAGAGGAATTTGAAGAAAATGCAGAGGTCCAAGTTCTAGTCTACTTCAATGAGCCTGGGCCTTTGTATTATGTTCGTTAGCTCTCAAATCTCAGTGTTTGAGAAACACTTCTAAACTATGGGAAAACTTGGTTAAATCCTTCCTGTGCACTCCTTTCCAGGTTGAAATCATTATTATATAACCCACAGGCCCCAGGCAGCACTCTCTCTTATTCCCTGGACTCCTGTCAGAA